GAGGGTCGGCGCCATCCGGCGGGGTCGGCCGCCCCCGGGGCCGGCGCTCGGAGCCCGCGGTTCTCGCCCGCAAGGGCCTGGGCGCGTCGCCCGCCGCGGGCATCTGGCTCCGGGCGCCGGCGCGGCCTGACCTTCGCAGTCGCACGTGGGCCGGAATTAGGGCCCGGAGGCGGGTGGACGCGTCTCCAGTGGTCATGGGGTCGGCGAGGCCTAGGTGCGCGCTGAGCCAAGGCCCAGCTGTTGGGGCGGGGCGCGCGGGGTGCGCGGGGAGCGGGGCGGCCACCTGCCTGGGGTAGGTGGGCGCAGGGGCGCTGGCTCTCCCCTGCGAGCGGCACTCTGCTCGACCCACCCCAGGAGGCGCTGTTTGCCAAACTTGGTAGCCTTGGCAGGAGGCGCCTGCCGGTTCCCACTTGGAGAATTGAGCCTCTCCTGATACTGGGGGTCAGGCTTGGCGAACCCGAGACTTGGAATGGCCGGCGGGGTGGGGAGTGCAGAGACAGGGTTTGAGACTCTTCACCGTGCTCTTGTTATCGGGGACTCCAGTCGGGCCTGTGGCCTTCCAGCGCTGGGGAGAGGTGTCCCTGGGTGTGCTCCGTGTGTCCAGGCCGGGGGCCCGGTCACTCACCTGGCGGGGCAGGCAGGACAGACCTGGCTTGGGTTCAGCTGCCACGGAGCCTCCCGGGTCGGGCTTCTGTCTGCTCAGAGGGCTAAGGCCGCTCCCTGGGCCTGGAAATGCCACTGCGCCCCCACCTGACTCTGCTCAACTTAACAGGTTGGGGTGACCGGGGGAGGGACTCTTGTTCCCCTGGCCGCTCCTGAGGGGGACCCGGAGGAGCAAGGCAAAGCCCCGGACCCACTGCTCCCCACCTGGTCGGTTGCAGCACTGGGTGCCTGCATCTGCCAGGTTCGCTGGGGCCGGCTGTTGTACCCTGTCCCAGGTTCCAAGACTTTGTAGAGGCGTCCCCCTGGCTGAGAGCATTCTCCCACCGCTGGCCCTGCAAGGGCCTCCCCGCCAGGGCCCAGAGTCGGACATTCAGGGTCTTTCCCAGCCCCTGTCGGTGTGAGGCGCCAAGGCCCTATCCCAGGCCCGGCTGGCTTGGAGGCCAGCACCGCCTAAGCGTGACCCCTGGACACCAAGGCCGCGAGGGCGGGCCACACTGCAACTGGGCAGTGGAGGCTGGACTTGAGCCGGGCCTTGGCATCGCCTGGCATCCTGGGCTCTGTGTGTGGTAGTGCGGCCTGAGGCCACGGGCCATCCCCTGCGTAGGGCCCTCGCGCCTCGGATCCTTCAGGGGCCTGGGCTTCCGCGAACCCCCAGCCGGGCCTCTCAATGCGGGAGGAGCATTTTATTGCTGGCTGGAGGCTGGCGGGCGAGTCTCAGGCTCCTGGACGCGGCTGCGAGGGACATGCACCACTCGAGTGCCCTGGGTGCTCTGCAGCCCGCTGGGTGCCCTTACACCCCGACTCGGCTGAAGTTTTCTGGGTGGCTCAGATGTCTGCTCCAGCCGGGTGCACCCCCAGGCCTTGCAGCCCACAGCAGTGGAGGCCCCAAGGGTGGGGTGAGGGGGAAGGTCATGCCTGGTGCCCTGGAACACCCCCCTCCGGGCTCCGCTGGTGGGGAGGGGCGCGGGCGGAGGGGCTTGGCGCGCGGCGGGCTCTGGCAGTGGCGGGTGCGCGGAGCCCGGGCGGGCCTGGGCGCTGGCGCTGGCGCTGGTGCTGGCGGCGGCTCTGGCTGCGGGGCGGGCAGTGTGCGGGTCAGCGGCCCTGCGCCCGGAGGCCCCTCGGCGGCAGGGCTCCGGGGCGGCGGGCGCTGTCTCTTTAAGGTCACTGCCTGCTTCGGCACGACGTGGAGAGGACAGCTGGGCACTGGCCATCTGACTGACTCCGGCGTGACATCTGGGAGCCCACTGGTGTGTGGCACGCGAAGCGCTTGATGCCGCTATTTAAATGCAAATGTGAGGGGCTCATTGAAGCCTCTCCCCGTAAATCCGCACAAAAGGAACACTTCCCACCCTCCGAGGCGGCGGCGCGAGGGCCACCCGTGCAAATCGCGTTGAGCCCGGGGCCCTGAGCGGCGGCCGCGGCGACGCGGCCCGGGGTCCTCGGCGAAGGTCAGGCCCCGCCCGGCGCCCGCTGGCCCCTGGGAGCGCGCGGCGCCCCGCCTGGACCCGCGCCGCGGCGGGCCTGCCGGCCTGTCCCCTCGGCTCCCCCATACCTGGGTGCGGGCGCCCTGAGTTCCCCCCCAGGAGAGGCGGCGGGGCGGGGTTCCCGCGGGAGGCGCCCGGCGCGGGCTGCGCCCCGGAGTCTCAGCACCGCCGGGAGCGGACTCGGCTCCCTCCTCCCGGGGACTGGGCGCTCCGGCCTCCTCGCTCCTCCCCGCCCCGCCGCCGCGCCCGCCCCGTCAAAGCCAGAGTCTGGGGTGGGGTGCGGTGGGGTGGGGTGCGGTGGGGTGGGGCGGGCGGGGCGGGCGAGGGCCTGCCCTCCCAGGCAGCGCTGGAGCAGGCCCGCGCGGGGACCCAGCCCGGCGGCCAGCCCGCGTGCCAGCCCGTGTGCCCACAGCTCGGAGCCAGCAGTGGAGTGACAAAAAAGATAAAGTTGGTGCATGATAAAGACCGTATTTTCCACGCTTTGGGTGCGGGACCAGATGATCTAGAAAATGAGCTGAAATGGATTCAGCCTCCGAGCCTGTTGTGAGAGCAGCTGATTCCCCCATTTCGGGCCAGATGGCTGCTGAACACAGATTTGCATTCATTTTCGCTTAATATCGTCCAAAATAGTGGGGCAGCTGCATTTGTTGTCAAAAAGGTTTAAAACCCCCTTTCTTTCTGGGGCAGGATCGCTGCCTTATGTGAGGGGCTTATAGAACTTTTTTTCCCTCTTTAGTCAACAGTATCAGATTTAGAAGGATTTGTTTTTAAACCTTCTAATTTGGTAATCAGATTTAAATCGCCTTGGCGCGTGGAATCTGAATTAAAGATACTGTACATGATGTGAAGCGTGGTGCTCCGCGGTGCAGGCCGGGGCACCTCCAGCTCCGAGGGGCGGTCTAGGAAGTGCGCCACAAAGGCGGCATTGTCCCCCACTTCCAACTTCATCTTCCGCGAAAGGCACTTTGTATCTCCTGCCGGTGTCGCGGGCCTGGCCGCTGGCCCCGGAGCCCCCGGGCGGGCAGCTCACCGGGCAGACAAAGCCACTTCGCGGCCCCACCGGCCGCCTCCGGCCAACTTTACTTCTCGGCGCTGTCCCCCAGCAGGATCGTGGCGTGTCCCCCACTCGGGCCGTGGCGGGCGGAAAACACTGGGCTGATTAGGAATACAGAAATTTTCTTTTAATTTATCGTGAAGAGTTTCCATACACTTTGATTTAAGGTTATTAACATTCTATAGACAGTGGCGTCTTTAATATGTGGCGATCGCTTCTGAAGACTAATCTCATTACCCTCAAATAGTCATAAAATATGATTTTATTATACTTACGTATTTAATTAGACGCCCGGCACCGTAATGGATTTTGAGATGGGACTGGCGCAACAGCTTTGATAATTCACTTATCTTTGGCAATAGTCATTAACCCCCAACACCAGCAAAATAGATTGCTTTCCAGCACATCTTTTTTCCTCACCCCTTCCACGAGGCGCGGGGTCCCCAGATAACGGACATCGGACTTCGATTTTCCCGATTAATTAAAATATTAACGCGCACACGCTGCCAGCCCAGGAACCAGGGAGCGTCGCCCGCGGCAGGGCGGGCCGGGCTGGCCCGAGACACTGCGCGCCCTCGGCCCGGCTTTGGTTGGTGTGTCTGTCTGTCTGTCTGTCGGTTTGCAGTCCGAGGGGCCTCATTTCCCCGGGCAGGGCGGTGCGCGGCCGCGCGCGGGGTCCCCCGGGGCCTTCCCTCCGCGGGGCGCGGGCGTCCCTGGGGCGGGCGGTGCGCCTGGCGCCGGGTCCCCGCACCGCAGCCGCCCGCCGGCCCGCGCGCCGCCCCGCTGCCCTCCCGGTTCCTCGAAATCGGGTCGGGACTGGGCGCGCGGCGCGCTCACCCGGCCCGGCGGCTCCGGGGGCAGGTCCCGGGCGCCCGCGCGCCCAGCGGCCCCGGGGAGGGCCGGCCGCCCCGCAGGGCGCACCGCCGACGCGGGCCCCGGCTCGCCCGAGAGGCCGGGCGCGCTCGCCGTCTGCCCGGAGAGCCCGGGGCTTCCTTTGTCACTCGCGCGCCCAAGGACAGGCCGGGGGGCCGGGGCTCCCGTGGCGGCCGCGGGGAGCTCGCGTCTGGCAGAGCCGCCTCCGACGTGGAGCCCGGCCCGGCCCGGGGCGACCTCCGCGCGGGTAGGGGACGCCGGCGGCGGGCGAGGCCCGGACGGGGGCACACCCGGCCCCCCGGCAGCCCGGGGCGGCCCAGGAACCGGGGCCGAGCGCGCGCCCCGCCTCGGCGAGGGAGCCCCGGCTCCCTCTTCCCCGCCGAGCCGGCCGCCGGGCCCTCCCCGGGGCCGGCCGGCGTCGCCCCGGTTTCCCTTTGGGACCCCCGGGGCGCGCGCGACCCCTCGCGCCCGCCGCGCGGACCCGGGCAACTTGGGGCGCCGGGCCCTCGCCCCCCTCCCCGCCGCGCCCGGCGCGCGCGGCTGATGTGGGGAGGCGGGACGGCGCGGCGGGCCGGGCTGCCATTGTGCGCGGCTGAGTGCTTCACTGCGAGGTGCGTGGGGGCGAGCGCGAACTTCCTCGGCCCAGGGCGCGCGCGGGGAGCCGCGACGCGCGGCCGGGGGCGCTCGGCGGCGCTCGGCGGCGCTCGGGCGCTCGGCGGCGGCGCGGGGCTCGCGGGGCTCGCGGGGCTCGGGCCGGCTCGCGCCGCCAGGCAGGCGGGCGGGCGGCCGGCGCGGCGGCGCGGGGCGGCGCGGGGCGCGGCGAGGGGCGGCCGCTCCCATATATGGCGCAGGCGCCGCCCCCCGACGTCAGCCTCTGACAGCGCCGCTCCCGGGGGCTTCGAGTTTTGGCTCCCGGGAAAGGGCCCATTCCTCGGGGAGGGCGGCTGAGTTTCGTGCGCCTCGGCCGCTGCGCGCGCCGCTCCGGGCCCCGCCGCGCCCCGCCCGCGCCCGGGACCGCGCCGCGGCGCTCACGGCCCCGCTTATTTGTCTTTGGAGCAGGCGGGCCGCGCCAGAAGCGGGCGATCCCGCAGTGTCCTGCAGCCGCGGACGCGCCGGCCGGGATGACACCGCGCTGAGCCCGACAACAACAACAACAACAAGCGCCGCCGCGTCCTGCTCCGCGCCGCCCGCCCCGCGCGGCCGGTGTATGCGGCGCCCGCCCGGGACGCGCTGACCGCGGCCGCCGCTCCGCAGGCGCCGAGCAGGGCGAGCGCGGCCGGGCGGCCGCCTGCGCCGAGCCCGAGCCCGAGCGCCGCCGCGGGAGCCCGAGGCCGGCCGGAGCCGCGGCCGCCCAGCAGGGTTCATGTTCGGGATCCAGGAGAACATTCCGCGCGGGGGGACGACCATGAAGGAGGAGCCGCTGGGCAGCGGCATGAACCCGGTGCGCTCGTGGATGCACACGGCGGGCGTGGTGGACGCCAACACGGCCGCCCAGAGGTACGTACCGGCCGCCCGCGCGCCCCGGCCCGGCCCGGCCGCGCGCCCCGCGCTGACCGCGCCGCTGTCCCTCTCCCCCCGCAGCGGCGTGGGGCTGGCGCGGGCGCACTTCGAGAAGCAGCCGCCCTCCAACCTCCGGAAATCCAATTTCTTCCACTTCGTGCTGGCGCTCTACGACAGGCAGGGGCAGCCGGTGGAGATCGAGCGCACCGCGTTTGTGGACTTTGTGGAGAAAGAGAAAGTAAGTGCCGCGGGGTCGCCCGCGCCCCGGGCGGGAGGCGCGGCCGGCCGGGCCCCCGCGCGCCCCGGGCCGGCCGGGGCGCGCGGGCCGCGCCGGGCGCCGGCGGGAGAGCGGCCCGGCGGCGCGGCCCGGGCGAGGACGCCCGCCCGGCGCGAGGCCCGGCCCGGGGCGCGCGGGGACCCGGCGCGCGGCCGCCCCGCGCCCCCTCAGCGCGCCTGTCTGTGGTTCCTTTCAGGAGCCCAACAACGAGAAGACCAACAACGGCATCCACTACAAACTCCAGCTGCTCTACAGCAACGGTGAGTGCGGCCGGCCGCCCGCGCAGGGCCGGGCGTAAAGATTTTGAGATTAAAATGACACGGATGTAAACACGGAGCTTCTCGAGGCAGAGAAGGAAAACAAAACATAAACGATCAATAAGTCGATGGCACTTCACATGATTAAGCGGCGGGGCTGGAGGTAGAAAGTAAAAAGGCGATCGATGGGGTTCCAGGAGAACATCACTTTTAAGTGACTTTCTCCAATTTTGCAAATTAATGTTAATTATCGGGACGGGGCGGCCCGGGCAGGGCAGCCCTGAGCCTCTTCCTTCCTGGGCTGGAGTTTCAAAAAAAAAAATCCTCGAGAGACCTTCGAGAGAGTGGAGCCTCTGTTTCCTTCCAGCTCCTGCTTTCTGTTTGCTAAAAATACATGCACACATGTGCCCAGGCGGCCACCAGGCCCGGCCCAGCCGCGGGGCCTTGCGCCCTGCACGCTGCACGCAGACCCGGGGCCTTGAGGCGCTTCCTTCCCGGAAGAGCAAAAAATGCAGCCCGGGGCGCCGCCGGGGTTCCCACCCTCGCCCTCCGGGGCTGTGCGTGGAGCTGGCCGCGGGCACCCCGGCCCCCCACGCCCCGGCCCAGCCCCGCGCTGACCGGCCTGCTGTGCTGTCTCTTGCAGGGGTCAGGACGGAGCAGGACCTGTACGTTCGCCTCATAGACTCCATGACCAAGCAGGTGAGAACGTTTAAGCCTCGCCGGGGCGCTGGCTGAGCGGGGTTATCCTGGCGCCACGACCAGGCCTGCCCGGGGCGCGGCAGGTAGATGTTTCTCGCCGGGCTCCCTCGACATGCTAACGAGAGCCCCCAGTTGCCAGGCTCGGGAGGGGACTGGTGGAGTGGCTCGTGCGGCCTGTGCCGCAGCAGCGGAGGCTTCATTAGATGGTTTGTGATTAGAATCTTTCCATCTCAATTAATGATGGCAACTGATATTGGACAGGAAAAATTCCAGGCCCCCCCTTTGTATTTTTTGCCACGCTTCTCTCCCGGCTTGGAGTCACCGCATCGATTTCCGAGCCGTAACAAAGGCACCCACTCCTCTCCCACCCCATGGACTGGACTTGATTAGTGCGCTTCCCTCCCTCCAGCGCGATGGGCTGTAACACAAGACGTTTATTTGGATTTAAAAGTTAAATGTGTTGGGGTGAAAAGTCGCCTTGTTCTCCTCTAGTCCTTCTTCACCTCTCAACCCCCCATGTCCATAATTCAAACTCCCAGCTCCAGGGGTCACCCAAACCCGGCCCTGGCTCTGGGAGAGGCTTCTGCTCCCGCTCCCAGCCTCTGTCATACCTTGTAAATAACATAATTACAAGCAGTTCCTTATTAAATTATTTAACCTGTCTCGGGCAACTTTTCCGACGCTGACTGAGGCTTGGGAGGGAGGCTGAGCGCCGGGGAGCCTCTGCCGGGCAGCGCGCACTCCCCCCGGGCGTGCGGGGCGGATTTTGTGCTGTGGTTGTTTTCAAGATCTTAACCCCGTTTCTTAGAAGCGTGTCGAGGGGAGGGGCCGGCCAGCGTCCGCCTGAAATCCGTGGGTCGCAGAGTGATTTAAAATCTACTCCCACGCTGGCCCTCTCGCCGGGAAGTGAAAGTGGCATCTTCACGTTTGATGCTAACTTTGGAAACTGTGAGCCAAGTGCAGCGAAGCCGCTGGGCTGTCAGCGTGGGGGTGGCTCCCCCTTTCAGGAGTTGTCCCTGCACGGGCAGGCCACGCGGGCCGGGTTCTGCGTCTGCCGAGGCGAGGCAGTGTCTGGGGCCGCCGGGAAAGTGGTTGTTCTGACAAAGGCGAGGCCGCCGGCCTTCGGGCTCCCCACTCGGAGTCCCTGCAGCCGGGCCTGTGGCTGGTGGGCCTCCGGGTCTTTGTATGCGGGGCGAGAGGTCCCAGCACCCGGCCGGGGTGCAGAGGCGCTCTCCCGCAGCGCGGGCGGAGCAGGAGGAGCCCTCGGTGCTGAGGACACTTTTATTGTTCATTTAGCTTGTACCTGGCCGTGCTCGTGGGCTGAAAATAAAGGCATTTAATCTCCTCGCGCTGACGGGGTGGGGGAAAGGAAAGAAATAGCCCAGTAACTGATCAAAGAGTCAATGGCGCTGAACCGACAGTTTATGGATTTCTGTTTGTGCTACAAAATAAAAAATAAATCACATATAAGTACGGGACCCGGGAGGACGGCGGGCCTGCCCTGGCGCTCGGGGCGGCTGGGGCGCCGGCGGGGAGGCCGCTGGGGCGTCGGGCCTGCGGCCTCCGGAGGGGCCGGGGCGAGGGCGGCTTTGTCCGCGGCCGCGGAGGCCAGGGCGGGAGGGCCGAGAGGCCGCGTCGTCTCGGAGCGTTTCCCGGGCGGCGGGAAGGCGACGCGGACTCCCCCCGCCCCCCGCGTGGCATTTTCTGCCGCGAACTTGCGCCCCCGCCCGCCCGCGCCCGGGCCGGCCCCCCGGGCCCCGTTCCCGTCCTTCCTTTTCTCTGGATTTTTCTGGCGAGGCGGGCGGCGGGCGGCGGGCGGCCGGGCTCGGGTCCGGCGCGGGGCGGGCGGGCGCGGCCGCGCGCGCTCCTCGGGCTTCGCACCATCTGGCGGAGCCTCTGCTCAAAACCCACCCGGGCGTGCGCGCAGACGCTGCCTTTTTACCCGAGAAAAATCATTGTTAGCAGTTTCAAAATAAACACCAGATTGGCCATTAGCACTTTCTTTCCAAAGATCAGCCGGCGGGGAGCACGTGGCCGCGCGGCCGGCGCTGGGGGCCCCGCACTCCTGCGGGGCGCCGGGGAACCCCGGCCCGCGCGCCCACGTGCGGCCGCCGCGCCCGGGTCCTGGCCGCCCGCGCGCGCCGGGCTCTGCAGGCGGCCCCGGGCTCCGGGCTCCGGGCGGCGGGCGGGCGGGCCGGGCGGGCGGCCCCCCGCGGGGACCCGGGCTCCAGGCCGGCCCGACTCGCCGCCGCCGCCGGGGAGCGCGCGGGCCTGCGTCCGGCCGGCGGGTCCCCGCGGCCCGGGTGGCGGCTCGGCCGGTCGCCGCCTCCGACGCGCCGGGAGCGCGGGGCAGACAATGGCCGGGGGCCGCGGCCGGGCGGCGCGCGGGCCTGGGCGTGGGGCGCCGGGTCGGTGCCCGCGGGCGCCGGCTCCCTGCGCCCGGCCTCGGCCCGCTCTGCGCCCGGCCCGGGTCCAAGGCCCCGCGCGGGCCGGCGGGCGCGGGCACAGGAGGCCGCCGAGCCGAGAGCCTCGCTGCAGGCGGCCGCGCGGAGGGGGCCGGAGGGGGCCGAGGGGGCCGAGGGGGCCGAGGGGCCGCCTTGCACCTGCCGCCGCGCCCCGGCGCCCCGGCCTTGGCCTCGGGGCCACGTAACCCGCGCCTCTGCTTGTCCCCCCAGGCCATCGTCTACGAGGGCCAGGACAAGAACCCGGAGATGTGCCGCGTGCTGCTGACCCACGAGATCATGTGCAGGTGAGCGCCGGCCCCGGGCCGCCCCCGCGCGAGGGCAGCGGCCGCCCGACGTCGCCAGGGCCGGCTGGGCTCCCGGGGAGCGCGCGGGCCGGGCGGGCCGCAGCGGGCCGGCGCGGGGAGGGGCCGCGCGCGGCTCGTGGGTCCGGGCGGCCCGACGCCTCCCCGCGCGGGCGGCCCCGGGGCGCGCTCGGCCGAGGCGGGCGCGAGGGGAACCCGCCGGGACCCGGAGCTGCAGGCGCCGCTGTCAGTCAGCCCGGCCCGGCGCCGGCGGCCGCGCCCGTCTCCGCCAGAGGAGCAGTTTCCCACCTGTTTTTTTCTAACGACCACGAGAGTTTCACCCCTACATGGCAAATAAAAATGCATCATTGACTTTGTATGTGCGGCCCGTGAAATATGGTGGCGGGAAGCAGAGGCCGCGGCGACAGTAGCAGGCGGCAGACTGCGAGGGGCATCCTGCGCCCGGCTACGCGCTGCCTGTCTGGGCAGACGTATTGTTACCGCACTAATATACAAAAGCTGACTTTTTCTCATATCAGGTAATAAATATAAATTACAACCAATAAAGTGGAATTTCTTTATTATCCACTTCTGCATGTACTGCAATTAACATAGAAAGCGCACAGATGTGATTTAAGCTCTAAGTGGGAGACTGTAGACTTTCTTTAATCACTTTAGCTGTCAGCTTTAAAAGGCTTTATATACTTTGCCTACCATATGGTGTTAATTTAGCTAATTTAGACATGTAACCATTATACAAGTATGCTTTTTTAAAATGCAAGAAGCATAACATTTTTGTTTCATTTCTGCTTTAATTAAAGTTTCAATAACGGAGTTAAGGTAGGCTTAGAGCAGGAACAATGGAAGTTTCTGATAGATGGATGCATGCTTTTGTGGTTATAATTAATAAATGCCCCAAAGAAATATTGGTGGAAGGTGGCATCTTGCATCTTTTCCAGAAATAACAGCTTGACAATTAGAGGTAAACAGAACCTGACGCTGTGAAAAGTTATTCCCCAGCCTCCCGCCTCCCTTCTCAGTTCACTGCAAAGACAAACACAGCAACATGTCCTCCACATTTTCGCATCCCGGCTTACGCAGGGGCTGGGGTGCCCTCCCGGTGTTTACACAGGGCCTCAACTTTGCTCCCGCGGCAGAGAGTGCCACCAGAAGTCGGCCGCGAGCACGTGAGCCGCCGCCTTTCCATCTGCCAGGCTGCCTGGGCAGGATGAGTTCTTTTCTCGACCCCGCAGTGGCTCCACTGCCAGACGTCACACAAAAGATGACCAGGCGGGCGTGCAAGGAGGAAATGCATATTAAAACCCCTGTTTACGATTACTCCACAGCCGGTGTTGTGACAAGAAAAGTTGTGGCAATAGGAACGAGACCCCCTCAGACCCAGTCATCATTGACAGGTAAGGACGGCTTCCTTCTTCCTCCCACAACCCCGCAGCCGCCTCTGCCACCCCTGCCTGGCCGGCTCCCGCGGCCCCTGCTTGGGAGCCGGGGTTGAGCTCCGCGCGCGCCCGTTTGTTGTCCGCGTGTGTTAGCCTGCACAGGTGGGTTGACTTGGAAACCTGGCGGCCGCTCTGTGGGGATTCAGTAATTGCTTGCGAGTTGTCAAGGGAAGCGGTTTCATCTGCCACTGCTCTCGCTGTGAGGAGCACTTTCTGCCTGGAGACGCTCTGGCTTCACACCCAGAGAGATGTCATGAAATGCTTTTTGCTAATTTGTTAACAAGTATCCCATTTTTGCATTATTTTTTATCTCGGATGATAGCTGAAGTTGAGACTTGGGTGGTGTTGCTGGTGTAATTGTTGCCCAGTGTTAGAATGAATTTAATCTGCTCTCAATTAGTTGCAAAATGTCTCCTAATTTTTTTCCAATTGTGGCTGTCGTTTTATGTCAAGTAGCAAATATGTAACTAACAAACCAAAGTTGTTATAATTGAAACTAATTGCACATGCTGGTTACATTTTCCAACATTAATTTCCATAACTAGATTAGCTGTATGCATTCTTTACATTTGCTGCTCTTCCGTCGCACTATTCATCATACTCCTCGGGCAACGTTGTTGCATCCTCTTAAGATACTAATCATTAGTCCTAATAGTGCTAATGTGCATTTGGCATGGCTTTCCTTGGAACAACAAAACGCCACCGCCCTCCTCTGGAAACTCCCCCCCCCACCCCAGCGCCGGGTTTCAGTGACCTGAGGAAGGAGGATCTGTTCCTTCCCAACAATGGGGACCAGCAGGAGGCCCGCGTGTGATTGACTGCAGATTCTGACGTTGGTACCCAAATTGAATAAATGTTAGACGGGCCCACATGACACCAGTTTTGTGAAACAGAGGTTTAGACTGTTTTGAAGAGGGGTTGGATTTCAGCAGCTTTCATTACAAAGTTATCTTTTGATCATGAACTTTGCTGTCCAGTGTCTGAAAAATTAAACCCGGAAAACTCTATGAGTTAAGCCTAAAGAAATATGCGCCAGCAGTGGAGAGCAATGCTAATGTTTGACTAGCTGGGATAGCTGTTTGCTTAGTGGAGAATGCTCGGTATCTGACAGAAGGGACAGCTCTCTTATTAGTAATCAAATAGGGTTGACCAGTTGTGGCCGTCACTCAGGCAATTGAGAACAAGTTCAACACTTTATAGAACTCCAACTCCAAAAATCAATATCATTATATTTGTCTTTAGTGTGGTGGCTATGGAAATCATGCAGCCTCAGATTGCGGCTCCTCCGGAGTTTGTTTTATTTCTTTGATGGGTTCAAACTCTTTGAGCAGCTCCTGGAATCTTGTCTGAGCTGAGATGCTCGAGAAGGCGGTGCTCCGCCGCAGCCCAGGATGGGGAACCGGCTGGTCCTCTGAGCTGTCTTCCGCCTGGGATGTTGCTAAATTTAAAAAGATGACTCGTTTCTAGATCGGAGGTTTTTAGCGTGCACGGTGACGAAGGATGGTGTTGACTCAACTGACGCTCGGACGAGGCGTTTTTCCCTTCAGAGCCACGCGCTGGCTGTTGATGCTGAACAACTTGCAGTACTTAGTTTTTATCGCAGGATGAGAAACAACTTTCTGAGAGATGCAGAAATACACTCCTTGATTCTTGTCGGAGTGACTGCTGTCTTATGGTTGGCTGATTAGAATATGTGCTAGGCTTCCTGATACCTCTCTCACCTAGGAGAAGTGTGTGATCATTTGCTATTCCAGAAGCATGAGTGGAAGGGGGGGGGAATGTAAAAACATTTGGTTAATGGGTTTACCAAGTTTATTTGAATAAGGGGGATTGCGGCTCCATTTACGCCTGGCATAAATGCTGCGGAGGTCTTAATTATTGATGAAAAATCTGCTCTGCTTCTAAATTCAAAGATATGACAATTTTATAGCTATCTTAATCACCTTCCGTGTGAGGGGCTTTAAGGTAAGGACGGTTTTCTGAAATGACAAATAGAGTGTACAATTTTAGCATTCTTGGGAGAGCTGTCACTTACAGTGACGAAATACTCGTCGCGTTTTGTTGCTCGATGTAAATGCTTGCGCGGTGGCTGCAGCGTGGGCACGATCTCCGGGGCGAGACGGGTTTCTGGGCGGGAAAACGAAGAGTTTCGTGTTCGTCGGGGCAGGTTGTGTTCATCAGAGAAGAAAAATACCTGCAGGAGGGTCGCCTTCGGAGCGAGGTGCTCTTCCGCCACCGAGATGCGTTTCAATTCCATAATGATAATCACTTCTGTGGGGCGTGCGTGGCTCCGAAAATTAGTTGCTTATGTTGAGTTTCTAGCCTGTGTTTCCTCTTGAGTATTGCAGAATAGAATATACCATCAAATTGGTGAGTCAGCCTACAGGTCCCCATCAGCGGTGTCATCACTTGGTTAGTTGGCTTAAAAAAGAATTATATACAGTGCGCTCCGCCACTCCCCGTGGCCTTTGGATACATTTAGCAGGTTCTGACCAGATAAGGCATATTTGTCCTGAGGATATAAACCAATAATTCCAACCTGAATTGAGATCAATGGGCCCACATTTGTTCTAACCCACACGAGCCTCTTCCGGCGCGCAGACTGCTCCGCTGTGTGGGGAGAGCCGAGAAGGGGCTCCCCGCTCTGGCAGGGAAATCGCATCCTATAGACTCTGATGCCCTAAATCAATTAATTACACAATTTAGTTGAGTTATCTTTCAGAAGCATTAAATACTCATGAACAGCATGGAAGACCCTTCAGAGTGAAAAAGAGGGCAGAAGTGAGGATGCGTTTGTGTTCAAAACCTTTTGAATTTATTGTGAAGGCTTCAGTTATGTTAACTGTTTGCTTCCTCATAAGAGAAACCGGTTCCTTTTATAGCTCCACAAGCACGATTACACGACATTGTGTTTAAGAGACCCTAGCAGGGTGAGGGGCAAGGAGAGGCAGCACTGTACAGTCACGAGCCTTGCAGAGAGCCGGGCTGCGGGAGAAAGCAGCGAGGTAGGTTGTAGTGACCTGCGGGGCGCCAGGCGGGGCGGGAAGCGCCCCCACGTGTGCGCGTGTATGTGGATGGGTGTGGACACACACGCGCACACACACACACATCTATACCTAATTTTTTATGGTATTGCTGAAAAGGGTGGGAGTATCATTTTCCTTGTGGAATAATGTTTTCTGGGAAAACACGAAAGCAGATGGTCTTCATTAGCAACACCCATTGTCCACATACCCCAACTATGAGCAGATAAATCTCTCCTGTTTCACCCGTACATTCCAAGGGCTGTAAATGATTACAGGATGTCGGTGTAGCTGCTAAACCGAAACCACACTTTGGCTCTCGTCCTCCTCCCGTGCCATCCCGGTGCGGTGCTTCCTCCGGGCTCTGGCGGTGCCCGGGGAGGCACAGGCGCTCCCCGCGCCCTCCTGGCCCGGCCTGGCTGCGGGCGGCGGGCAGGGGCCAGCTGTGGCACGGCGGCCGGGCCGAGGCTGCCGGCGCGGGGGAGCGGGCGGCGGGACCCTCCGAGCGGGCCGGGTCGCGCCCGGAGCGTGCTCGGCGGGCCGGTTCCAGATGGCACCGTCTGAGGCGTCCCGCTCGTTGGCATCTCCGCGGCGGGCGTGCCCGCCCCCCCAGTAAATCTGGCATGGGTCTGCAGAGTTGGGGAGACTTATCATTCCAAGTCTGTCCTACTTTCCTGTCTGGAAGCCAGACATCTGTTTATCCCATTTTCTTTCATACAGAGTTTGGAATAGCTTTAGTTTGGGGTGGGGGGGGTTGTCATATTTAACAGCTGTTACAAAATTTCAACCCTGTGGGCTCTGAAAATACTTTTCGGCTGACCTCAGATTTTTCTACATAATTGACACTGGGTTGTAGAAAAATATTATTGACTTAACCTTTCATTGTCTGCGATGCCTCGTGGTCTCGAGTCAGATGCGCTCGCCGCCGCAGAATTTGACTCTGCCCCCGCCCCGAGCCGCACTTTGATTATTTACGCATTTTAAGTTTATACCTTTAAAGAGGTTGCAGAAGGGGAGCTGGAGACCGAGTGGAGATTTTCTTTCTCTCTTTCTCTCCTTTCTCTTTTTTTTTTTTTTTAGTCAACAGTGTTTCCTTTCACTTCCTGTCACAAAGGTCAAAGAGCCGACCTTTGCTGGCGGTCCTCCGCGCTGAATTATTCATGCCATTGACTTTTTGTCAGCGCACACAGTTGTGCTCTGGGACATTTTATTCATTTACCTCATTTAAAGCGCCTTTCTGCACCTGTTCAAGTATTAATATCATGTAATTTGGGCCTAATGCCGATTTTGCTGAACACTCATTATATTTTTTATTAGCTATATTTCCAAACGATTATGTATGATTATTACCAAGCCTTACAAACAGCACCCGGCTATTCCCCAGCCCTTACATCTTCTTGTCAGGCTGTTTTCAGAAGCGAGCAGGATAAACATTTGACCAGTCCCAGTGTTTTTATTCCAACCCCACCTCCAAGCAGCGAACTTAAAGCTTCCTCCCTCATGGCTTTGCACGAGCGTGATTAAATCCAACTCTGAGGGAGCTGTACAAATGCCAGCATTTATAAGGTCAACGCTTTTGTTAAAAATGCTATGTAAATGAGGATCTGCAAAAAGGGACATTAAATAAAATTAAATTCATTGTCTTCTTTAATGTCATTTACATTTTGGCTAAGCCCCGGCCTGTCAAGGAGGATTTTAAAAATAATTTTAATTACACATCATTTAGGGATCCAAGGTTTTCTATTCAGTAGCATTTGGATAACCTGCAAGCCGGAGACTGTATATTAACTTCTTAAACGACAACTTGTCATTTCATCTGCATGAGGCAATGAAAAAGCAGAGTCGGTTCATTTTTCCCTCTGCTTTTCTTAAAGATGTGAATGTAATTATCCCCAGCTAGGCCTCGGCGTCCGGGCCCCTCTCGGCCTCGGTGGC